ATATTGTAGGCTGCAGTCCTTGACCCTCTGTAGCAGGCGCTTCAGGTCCTCTTCAGTTTCAGCAAGCAGGGTTGTGTCATCCACATAATGCAGGTTGTTGATAAATCCTCCACCAATCTTGACCCCACATTTCTCCTCATAGAGCCCAGCCTCCCAGATAATATGTTCTGCATAGTATGTTAAAATTCTTTATTGGTTCCTCAACTTAAAGCCTGAATATTTTGTCAGTCTCCTGAAAATCTGACAAACTTTCACATGCATATGGAGCAACAGAAAAGAGCATATTGTTAAGTATGTTGCTTTTTTTTTTGAACAATATGCTGACTTAAAATCTTAGAAAACAGTATCTGAGACAAGGCTTATGTACTAATATTTTATTGGGAATTAAAATCTCAAACTATTAAAAAGAAAGAAAACACAAGTAACACACTGCAGAATGGAAATGCAAATATAAAGTGAAATCTAGTCTGAATGGAGTCTGTTGCTATGAACCCAGATGTAGTAATATAAAAGTCTACTGAAAAAGCCTCATCAAAATAATTAATTAATTAATTATTAGATTCCTTTTGGCTCTTATCTATCAGAAATCAAAACATGGGAAATTTAGTTGCCAAACTTTCAGAGTATAGCCACTTGGTCACTTCAACTGCCTTTGAAAAAAGTGAGGTCCCATACCACTTAAGTGTGGAATTGGTGCAAGAAAACAGTCTCTGAACATTGATCCAAGGATGGGGTACTGTATGATACCAGTGAATTTGGTGGATTTAAAGTGGCTTAATTAGAAGGTAAAAACAAACAAACAAACAAAAACAACCAAAAAAAAAACAAAAAACCAAAAACCAACTGGCAAAAAGTTGAGGATGTAGTAGTAGTATATAGTCACCTTTCAAATGAATGGCTCTGTTTTTCTTCCACTGTACTTTATACGTTCATGACAATCAACACATTAGTCTGTCACTATAAATTCACATGCTGGTCTCTCATGCCAGGGTTCATCATCGCAAATGTAAAAAGAGTGTTGTTTCAATATGCCATCGAGTTGCTTGTGACTCATAGTGACCCTATGTACAAGAGCCCTAAACGCTGTTCTATCCTGTGCCAACCTTGCCGTCTCAGACACTCTCATTCCACCACTTCACTCACAGAATCGATCCATCTTATCGAGGGTCTTCCTCTCCTGCGCTGTCCCTCCACTCTCCCAAACATGATGTCCCTCTCCAAGGACCCACCTTGCAACATGCTCAAAGTATGTCAGATGAAGCTTCAGAATCCTTGACTCCAAGGAACATTCTGGCTTCACCCTCTCCAGGACAAACCTATTTGTTTGTTCTCCTAGCAGTCCATGGTATATTCAACACTCTTCTCCAGCAC